TCTTTATAAAAATGGATTCATTTACCATAACATTTTCGGGTACAGAGCCAGAGCTTAAGTCAGTGTTCTTTCCTCCCATAGAATTAAATGATGATTATGTAATTGGATTAGTAGATTTTCAAAGTTATAATTCTATATTTAATGTTAAAAAACCTCTAAATACTTTAACATATTATAAAGTAGAGAAAAAAACATTACCAAAAGGAGATATCTCAGTTGATGATTTAAACCAGTTATTAGATGGTAAACTTAAAGTTATAATAGATAAAAATGGAGACGCATTAATTAATACTAAATCCAAACTTTTATTCAAAGGGCTTATTCCAAAATTAAATCAACTTAAAGGCAACAAATTAACCATTGGAGAAGGTGATGATGTTTTCTATTATGATCACAATGCTCCAGTTACAATAGAAATTTCTGAAGGAACATATGAGGTGGTTGGGCTTGCAAAGGAAATCCAAAAGCAAATCCCAGACTTTTTCCTTACAGCTAATAATAAAACTATGAAAGCGACATTACTTTCTAGCCATGTGTTTGATTTTACAAAACCATGTTTAGGGTCTGTTTTATTGGGATTTAAAGGTGTTTCTACTCCTGGTGTTCAGTTTGAATCTACAAATAAAATAAACATTAATAATGTAAATGTGATTAGAGTAAAATGTAATATTGCAAACGGGTCCTATTTAAATGGCAACAAATCACACACCATACATAGCTTTTATCCAGAAGCTCCTCCTGGCTACAAAATTATTGAAGTTCCAAGAAATATTATATATTTTCCTGTAAATAAGAGAAGTTTAGATGTTGTCAGTATTACATTTGCCGATCAGCATGACAAGGCAATTGACTTTAACGGAGAAGAAACTACAATTACTTGTCATATAAAAAAGATATGAGAATTTATAAGAATTTATCTATAAGTGTACAAAATGCTAGGTTCCTAAAGTCAATAGGACTAAAGTTAAAATTTTCTATTAATAAAAATGGAAGATTTTCTAGACGTTACAGGGAAATCCCAATTCGACGATAGTGTGGTTAAAATTACAAATCACTCCTATGTTCCTCACAACACTTTGGCAATAAATAATTCTGATGAAATTCGAATATGTATTAATAATCAAGATTTGCTAACTCTCCCATGTAGAAGTTATCTGTATATTAAGGGAGAAATTGAAAATCATGATAAAGGTCATTTTATAAATAATGCATTTGCATTCTTATTTGATGAAATTAGATATGAAGTTGCAGGTAAAGAAATAGACATTGTAAGAAACCCAGGAATTTCTAGTCTTATGAAAATATTGAGCTCTTACAATAAAACAACTAAATTGTCAAATGTAGCATTTGATTCTGACACGAATTTAAAAGAGTTTCATAAAGGTGGCAAGTTTAGTACATGTTTACCATTAGAGCTGTTAATGGGTGTATTTGAGGATTTTAATAAGGTATTAGTAAATGTCAAACAAGAATTGGTGTTGAAAAGATAAAAAAATGATTTGAATTGTATATTAACAACCACTAGTGCTCCAGCCAGTGGCACTGCTGATACGATTCCCAAAATTACACTTAACTCTATTCAATGGGTCATGCCACATGTGATACCATCAGATGGAGAGAAGTTACAATTACAAAAGATGTTATTGCAAAATAAAAATTTGCAAATTGCATTTAGAAGTTTAGAGCTGCATGAACTTCCATCATATCCCAATACCACAAGACATACATGGTCAGTAAAGACGTCTTCAAGTTTGGAGAAGCCTAGGTATATTATATTTGGTTTCCAAACAGCTAGGGATAATAGTGCACGAAAAAGAACTGATGAATTTGATCACTGTAAATTAAAAAATCTTAAAGTATTTCTAAACTCTGAATATTATTCCTAATCTAATATTATTTCCATATCCTATTATTCCATATTTATTATTATCCTAATATTATTTCCTAATCTAAATGTATTTAAATTGGAAGCTAATTTGTATAATGGAAGGGACAAAAAGTTATAGGAATCTAAAAATACTAAATCATCAATAGAGAATGAAATGTACTTTTCCATATCCTTGGCTATACAATTTAATTTACGATCTAACTTTGCATATTTTCCCAAGTGTTGCATTATTAAATGTCCGTCATAATTTTTCAAGTTATGGAAGAATACTGGGATTTTCTTTGTTACTTTATAGTTTAAATTGCAATCATTGTGGGCAGCTCCACGGTATTGGCCAGATGAATGACAATGATCTCTCACCCTATCGAAATATAAGGGCTTTTCACAAATGTGACAATGCATTGAGTTTTGGAAAGATACCTCTTGCTCAGGAGTCATTATTAGGGGAATATATATCGCCATTTGACGTTTAATGAAGTCATAAGTCTCAAATAATCTTTTGAAAAACACGTCCATAACATTTTCACCACTATATAACTCTTCATAAATAATTGTAGAATCTTTTACTACAACAAATGCAAATCCAGATGGAGTATGGCTGTTAGAGTTTATAAAGCATTCAAAATCTGCATAAATCACAAATGGGGCTTTAAGTTGATATTTATAATTTTTAAATTCTAATGTATCTTGTTTAGACATTTCCACTCGTTGGGCATCAAAGTTTTTACAATATGTTATATGACGTTCTAATTTATCACTAGTGTAAAAATGTTGCAAACACAACTTGCAAAAATGCTTCTTATTGTTATCTTTTGTAGACCGCAGCATTAATCTATTAAAATCACGAATTAAACAGTAATGTGATTTACGACCTTCTTGTAATAATAATAGATCTATATGAGTATTACTATTCAGTTTGGTTGTTCTTAATGGATGTATAAATTTCTGGTCTTCAACTCCAAATACATTAACACTTATATTATTCTGTGTTTCAAATTTTTCTATATCAGATATTTTTACGGGATATTTTATATTTGTCATATTTAACTGCCCTATGTAGGGTGCATAGCTAGAGACCCTTTCAGCATTTTCATTGATACAATTCCTTGGATGTAAAGCTGCTAAAATTGACCAAAGGAAGCATTTATTATCAGCATTTTTAATATTTAAAACTGCATGTTTTGATTGAATACTTTTTGGTGTAGGGATATATGACTTTGGAGTTAGGGGCTTGTACTTGTAAATATGCAACTGCCAATACTTAGTGTGGTCATAAATCCATCCACTGCCTTGGGCTTGATATTTGTGTATAGAAGCATCAATCTTTAAAAGTGAATTTTCAATTTGAGGCTTTAAATCTCTCTTCTCAATAGTTAAAAGGCTTCTAAAATCTGCAATACATTCTTTCTCATTAACTAATTTTCCATTTTGATCCATTGAATATTTCATAAATTTAATTCTCCTAACTAAAGTCCATTTTATCGGAAGAGGACAAGACTTCAGTGTATTTTCAAGGTCAGCTCTAATCGATTCACCGACAAATTTAATCATTGTATATGGACATTTGATGCAAGAATTGGCATGTCTTTTAAAATGTCCAACAACATTCGTTTTACAGAAATTACAAGTCTTGTGATTTTGTAATATATGTGATTTTAAAGCCACATTATTATCACAGATTAAATTGCAAACTTTGCACAGTTTTACCTTCATTTGATGAATTACCTTGTAGTGGCGAAACAGGTTACTTTTGGTGGAGAGCGACACGGAGCAGTGTTGACAGGTGGGCCTCATGGTCCAGAATGAAATATCACCCGAATGTCACTTCTATTTATAGACTTTTCAAAATTTCAAAATTTTTTAACCAGAAATTGTGAAATTTTCAAAATTTTTAGCTAGAAATTAAAAAAATTTTAAACAATTTAACTAGAAATTACTTCAACAGGAGGTCACCCACCCAAGGCTTAATCAAGAGCTACCACTAGAGACGAGAAAACCGACCATGAGTCGGGAGCGAGAAGCCTAACCATAGGTCGGGAGCATGACCGGGAGCACGCCATGAGCCGGGAGCACGTACAAACCTCGCACTGTCAAGTTGATGATTTTGAGAATATACATGTGAATGCATGTGGATTTGAAATAGTAATGGAGTTGTACAATGGTATTGAACATTTATATAGGCTTGTATAGGCCGAGAGCTGGATTTTTAAAAAAGTGGTCAAAAAAAGCTCACCATGTTATTCTTATGGGGAAAACGTGCCTAAAGTGATGGCTCTTTCTGGGTTCGCCACTACTCTACATTTACACTTGTAAGGGTCAATAAATATAAGAAATAGCTTTTTTAGCTTAATATCGAATATATTTATGGGAAATAAGTAAGAAATAAGGTTTGACAATTTTATAGGGATATGTGAGCAAAGATCAGGATTTTTGGTTTTGGTGGCCAAAAAATGATCCCCATGTTATTCTTATGGGAAAAAACGCCTAAAGTGACTTATCTTTCTGGGTTCACCACTACTTATATTGTTAGTATTTTGATCTGTTAGGTAGTTGGTCATAGATAAAACATACTCCCTTGTGTTGGTTAGTCTATGATATTGTTTATAAGCCACAGAATTCAATCAACAGCAGATGGTGAAAAATGTAATGGTTTTTCAGAAACTTAAATTATTAATTAATTATTATGAATATACAAATTAATTATTTTTGAAGTGAATAGAGGTATGTATGGATATTAAATTTGAAAAAGAACACGAATATTCATTGAAATACTAGTTCGCTGGGTGAAAATGCAAGTGTTCCAACTCCACTTTCTCAAGTTTTGCAAAAACTTGAAAACAAACTTTGATATTCTGTTGAAATCACATGATTTGCACTATTTACAATTAAATAATTCCACTATATTTATTAGTAACTGTATTCTAGTGAAAATTTACCATGGCAACTTATTATGTGATTTAATATTAAAAAATTATGTGTTTTTAAAGCAATGTTGGAGATAGAACAGTTGTTTTTCATACTACTATGGGTACACCTGTTCTATCTCCAGATATTAAAAATTATTAGCCTACCTAACAGTGACTTCTATGTCAAAATAAGATATTTAGTACAGATCATATTTTTTTGAAATGGTATTTTGTTGATAGGTAAAGTAAGAAAACAAGTTGTTAAAATAAAGAATAATTTTATTATGCCGAAATGAAACAATACAATAGCACGGTACCTAGTAAAAAGAACATTAAAATACAATACAGGCTAGCAAAGGCCTACCGGTAATTAAAAGACAAGGATCTTTTCAAGTCTTAGAATTGACTTATTAATAGTTGGTTAGTCTTAGTCCTTCAAATAACAGCTCAGCTATTCGTAGTGTTCCGAAACAAAGTTTCATAGAATGCTTTGTCTACTGCTGGCATAAACTTCAACATCGACTGCAAGGCTTTTTTCTTCTCTACTTGCAGAATAGGTTTTGAAGTGATAGGGTTGACAGAGGGAAGGCTAGGTCTCGTCTTAGCTTGAGCTTGAGGGCTAGTAGTAGTTTTTTTATTTAGCTGGCGAGGCGATTTTGAAATGTTGTCACGCCCTCTCAGTCCATCTTTTGCAATGTTGCATTTTACTAATTCTTCATTTAAGAAACTTGTTTTATATGTTACATCAAATAATTCGGTATTGGTAACAGTTATTTCTTTAATCTTAGTGTAGGGGATGATGGAATAGTTTAGTGACTTTGAAGCAGATTGAAAATCAAAAAAGTCTGAGGGTTTCATTTGAATTATATTAGTTTTTGTTGAGCTTTTGTTGGCTTTGTTTACCAGGACCCTTACCAATGAAAGGGGACTGAATATCTCTAAAGGTTTTAACCACCTCTCAATTTTGCTATGTATTGCGTCGACTTCTTGGACAACTCCATGACCTGGTTCAGAAAAACGTTGTACAATTTCAATTACTGTAGGGTTTTCCTTTAAAAATGATTTAAGTGCCATGCTCATTATGGAGTTTTTGTTTTGTGGTACGCATGAATCGGACCACAAAACAAACTTTTTGATTTCTCTGTTTTGAGCAAATACATGGTTTAAAATTTTAAAAACCGCACTTGCAAGATGGTTACCAGCTCTACCTGAAATCAACTCATGCCAAACCATACAATATAATTCTATTTGGCCCTTGTATGTTACATGTGCTGTAAGATTGTAGCAATTTAACTTTCTTTTATAAAAAAAGTTTGAAACTTCGGCCTTTGGAAGAGCAAAAACATTTTCCAAGTCAAAAGCTATAAAGCAGGTATTTGAGTCATTTACAGCTTTTATTGACACAGCTCTGTCTTTGTCTCGAACAAGTTTGACTGCATCCTTTTCTGTTTTGTGTAAGTTAAATCTTTCTGTTTCTGCCTGACTCGGTTCCAGATTACATTTAAAAGCTTCACAAGTGTCGCAGCGATCTTTTTTAGGCTTAAAAAACTCTAAATTGAACTCATGGTTAAAAATATGCCTATAGAGTGACTCTTTTACTGGATTTTCTACTGATGCTGAGTAAAGTCGATACATTTCAGCCAGAGATAAATCCCCTTCTAGGTATTCTTTGGTACTATCTTTTCGACAATAATGAGCCTCTATGCGGGGAAACGAGTTAATGTGGTCACGAACCTTTTCCTTCAACTCATCGTCAATATGACTTTTAGTATTTTTACCTTTTAAAGGGGATCGGGCCGTACCTGTTTGAGAATCATACACATTCTGAAAAAAGTAATATATCCTCCTTTGACTTATGTCCAAAGTTTTAAAGAAAAATTCTTTGCACACTCTAACGCGCATATCTTTTTCAGTTCCCAAGTAGTAGAAATAAGAAAACTTCCTATTATTTTCGTGTAATGTACGAGACCTTTGCTTAGTGTGTCTTTCGACAAACTTACTATAAAAATGACTTTTACCTGTATCACTGAGGGACCAGAATTTGTCGTGAATTTGTTTTCTTTCATCAGCACTAACTTGTGTGTCACATTTAAACTTGCATGCTCCTTTGCAATCACCTTGAATCCGTCTAGCTCTGTGAACCTTTCCTTTTCTATCTTCATATTCTTTTCCACTCTGTCTTTTTCTCTTCCTTACTTCCATTTTCCAGTTCTTCCTACAGACGTTTCTTTTTCGGCTCCTAACTTTTTTTCCTTGGTCACACATTTCATCACTCTCACTTCCTGGTGAGTCACTTATTTCCATATCACTATCACTGTTATCAATGTTCGGGGAGTCACTTAGGCCTATTTCCATACCGGTAGCATTAACACTGTTATCAATGCTCAAACTAGCAACAGCCTCTTCATCATTCACTTTGCTTTCACGTTCTGCATTATAGATACTACAGACACCAGAACCATCAACTAAAAGCGTAACTTCTTCACCAACTTGGATATCGTCTATAATGACACAATTATCATTGTGATTTGAATTGGCGGTGTCAGGTAATCCTGGGTCATCTTCAATGTCACTAAAATAAAGAAAATAAATAAAAATAACTGTGTTAAAACTTTAATTAAGCACTACTTTAGTAAACAAGACAGGAAAGCACAAATAAAAAAAACTGAACTTTCAATTTTAACAATAATTATGAATCACAGATTATGACCTCTTAGGCCCTATCGTACAGGTCACAACATTAAATGAATAGATCTAGGCCTAGCCTGTACTCCCAGATAATAACTAAAAGTTTAATAACACATTATTGGTATTGTTTGTGAAGCAAAATAACCTAAAACTTAGGCCTAACCTAAACAAAGTAAAGTCCAGAATATAAGGAATTAAAGAATATTCCTGTAAGTTTAGTAATGTAGGCATTCTTACCTTTCCATGAGGAATTCGTCATTTAATAGGGACATAATATTTTCTTCATCTAGTTTCGACATTATGTTAAATAACAGAAAAGTTACCAACATTTAACTCATAAGAACATAACCCATTCTCGCAATGTCTGCAGAAGGACTGAAGACTGAATTAACTGTATATTTGTATAAACAAACAATAACAATTTATTTGGAAAGCATGTGTTCCAACTCCAGTGAATACTCGATTCCTATTGGTCAGTGCCAAAAGTAGGGATGCATGTGTTCCATCTCTGGAGATAGACCACTAGCATTGTAATTTCTTCTGATTTTTTTGGAAATGGAACAAAGAGTAAACTGAGTTTTACCCATAAACCGACTGTTTTTTGTTTTTTTTTTGATGTTTTAACATAGAGAAAGCATTGCAAATAGTTCAAAGTGATATATAACTCAATTTCTCAAAAAAATGGAGATGGAACAGTTGCATTCTCAACCAGCGAGTTGTTTATTAAATAATCACCGACGCAGTTAGTGATATCAGACATTATACTCGTTAAATTTCAAGAAGAGTAATTGGACAAAAAATAATATGCTGAAGGAATCCTTCTTTTTTATTTTCGCGCATTGTTAAATCGTTTTACCATACTGAGTAGTTGAAAGATATTAGTACCCTCCTAAAAATCACAAGGATATCGATTTGCTCTTGAAAAAGTAATCAGCTTTTTGACGTTAAAACTTGGTCCAGCTGTTCTTAATTGATATCCTTATAAAAAGTAACTTTTTTAAGAAAATATAGAATATCACACCGTTCTTCATTATATTTAGCCTAAAATATGAAACGACGGGTCTTTGCTGGTGAAAAGAAATATATAAAAATAATAAAAGTCCTCAATTTCTCTCATTACTACATAACAACACGGTTCTAAGTAGTAATGCATTATGAAAATATTGTATAGAGTAATAAATATTTTAACTAATTAATGCCCTTACAGAAAAAGAAACCTCCATACTTCTTTTCTAATCTACACAAGGCGCTTATGGAACTAAGAAGTATGTTACTTCAAGAAGAGGATATGGATAAAACTTCAAAAATGTCTCGGTTGGAAAGGCAAATACTTCTGAATGGAATGAACACACAGGATCTCATTACAGAGGTATGTTGTCACAGTGAAATATCTCCAATATAAGACGTGTATATCAAATTAAGGTCAAATATTTTAAATGTTTTTGTAAGTCAAAGTGTTTAGCTCAGTTAGTGGCCCGATCGACTATGTAGGCAGTGGTGGGTGTGAGTTCACGTACTGACAGGTTGATATTTATTTTTATAAATTCTGTTTTTTTCTGGTTCCGGATTATCAAATGAAACTACTGAAGATGAACAAGGTGAATGGATTATATTTAATTCTAAATAAAAAAACTGTTATAAAATGCATTTCTGTTCATGGCTTACTGAAACAACTTTCTTTGTGCAAATTATCAGGCAGTCAGTTTTAATTTTTATACAATAGTAAATAAATTCAAATTGTTTTGAACATGCACATTGTTTTGTTAAGTAAAATTATAATCAAAGTAGTCCAGTTGTAGTGTACAACAGTGTACAACCCAAATTACAATTATAGAGAGTTATTAGGAATTCATTATAAATAATATTTAACATGTTTTTTTCTTTTTAACATAACACACGTTTAAGGTTGATAATACACACGTAAAAAAATAAGTATTGTATTATTTGATTTTTACAGTTTATATAACCTATAGTTGAATTATTAGGTACTGTAATCCTAAAATCCTAATTGCATAACATTGTTGGCATAAAAAGGATAAATTACTACCAATGTATTAGTTTACCTTACATAATCATTGAGTTGGTGAAAACCCATGTTGAGCCTTGATCACAGTAAATTCCCGATAACAGCTGATCAGACAACAATGATAAAATGTATGACAGCTGATCGTCAATAAAGTAAGGGAAATAGGTCTGCCAATCTATCAACTTGTATTGTCTCAACTGAGATTCTCAGTACATCTAATTAGGGTTGCGTTAAAAAAACCATTCACATGAAGTCTAACTCATTGATCAGGTAATATTAAGATGTAATAATAATTTGATAAAATAATATAATTATAAATATTTTAGATGCACAAATATCGACTTGAGGAACAGAGCAAGATTGAAGGTGCACCTTTGGGGATGCTGACAGTGAAGTTATGGTTCGTCCAGGATGAATTACACATATATATTCTGAATGGAAGGAATCTAAAACCTATGGACAAAAACGGTAAGGACAGTTCCAATTAGTGTTGTAATTGTAAATACACAACTATTAATATGTTTGCCACAGCAAACGTATTGTTTTGTCAATATGCCTAAGTGAAATTCCATTTTCCTGATAGGATTTCAAAAAAGATTTTCCTGAATTATGTCTAATTTATACGCTAATTGATTAATTTGTAGGTTCAACGAGTACCTAGGTTTGCTGTTAATGAATGGTAATAAAGTGATTATTTTATCATTACTGTAATGTTAATAGCTTTTTGTTAGACGAATATATTTTCCAAATGTTATCAAAACATATCCACAAAGAGCAGGCTAACTACAGCAGGTTACTTATTCTAAACAAAAATAACACGACAGATAAAAAAAAATATATTTTTTTATCCATCAAGCGCACACCGACGCTTTAACATACCAAATTATTGATTAAGCTCAACCAAATGGATAGAAATAAACTGCAAAATTTGTAAGTTTTAAGAGTAAAATGAAGAACTAAATATTTACCCCAGTCTGATCACGCTGGTTTGAATATACAACTCGTTCGAATTAACGTAGGTTTACATGTTTGTACCAAATTTCATATAAAAGTTAACATTTACTCAAGTTGTCATGCTAACAGAGACACACACTTTAAAAATAGTATATTTAACTACTAGTTACGAACAATAATACGGCTGTACAATTAATTTTATTGTAAAATTCAGCTGATTGTAACTTTGTTGATGTCAGGCAAAGTATTGTTTGTGTAGTGAAAGTAATTTTTAAGTCAGAAAAAGTCAGCTGATCACTATTTGTTTTTGGTATATGGAAATTGAAGATTTTCGGAGAACTCGAAATAGATTTGATATAGGGTATTTTAGAATACAGAGTGATGAAAAATATTTACCTTGAAATATAACAACTAACTGTTGCCACTTTTCTGCCAAAAACCATACATGTCATAAACTATTTTTATTTCGTTTTAGCCTATGAATGCTTCAAAGAGTATTCGTAATATGTAGGATTTACTGCTATTAAAGACCTATTTCATCATTTAAGTAGTATCTATGTATACTCAAATGAATTAATTGCTTGTTGGCAGGAAAATCCGACCCCTTCGTGACGATTAACCTTCTTCCTCAGGAGGCATTTGTAAAACTCCAAAAAATGAAAACCAGAACGGAAAGGTCTACTCTCCACCCCCTTTATGACGAGACTTTCACAGTGTAAGTACCTAAAACATACATTAAATAGCTCGGGAAATATGTAAAATGATATTTATTGTTTTAGAATATTTTATGAGTAATGTGGGTTTATTAAGTAGGAGTGCGAGGAAATCGTTTACCTAACCCGCCATGTTAAACTTCCCTTTCCCAAACGTGATGTATACAACTTCTTTACTTCTCAAGTGATGTAAAGTTGAAAAAAAACTCACTCGATGATGTAATGCAACCCATTTAAATAACATCGAGTGCTTAACTTTAAAAATATACCTTTATGGAGCCAACGACGTTCATCGCTAGAAATCAGCTGTGCGCTTGAATTTTATTGTTTTGTTTTAAAGAATTTTCCTAACCTAGCTTTTGTTGGTAAATGACCGTTACTGTTAGAAGACGAGTGAAATGGATAATGACAAATATTGTTCGTAACCTCCTGTATATTGTCGGGCCAGGTAAAATCTTGTACGTTACACGTTACGCAAGAGCATGTTTACATCGGTAAATTATGCAACTCGCAGCTCGTTGCACAACATTCACCTGCGTGATGTAAAAACGCTCTTACTACACTTTTAAGGTAAATAGCTATTACTAATTTCTATTATTACTGAACAGGAAGTTGACCAAGGAGCAAAGGCAGATGAAGGATGGCATGGTGCTGTTCATGACCATGGACGAAGATTTGCGTGGTTTGATTTCGGAGTTCATGGGAGAAGCCTATTTGGCCTTCAGTGAAATCCCAGATGCGGAAGGTGCAGCTGAGGTGAAGCAAACACATCTCAAACTTAGCACCCCTTCAGACGAAAGCCTAGGTAAGCCTTAACAACAGAGGGCAACAATTCAATATAGTTTACATCACACTACACTGAAACGAGTACTTTTCCATCCGTATTGATAGGCTGGAAAGTTGCTCTTTGCCGTGCCTACACACGGAAAAGTAACGTCATGTACTTTTAGCTTTTTACCGTGCACTTAGTCAGCTGGTAAAATAAACAGCTGATTTCAACGGTCCATTTTATTTTCTAAAATATAAAATATTGTAATTTATGTTATGTCCTACCTAAATTGCGTTATGAGTTTAAAGTGCACTAATCTTTCTGTGTAGTATGATGTAAAGTATTGTACGTTACTCGCCGGTTAAAACACCAATTACCGTGATAGTAACGTAATATATTATTACAATACAATACAAACAGATTTGAGACTAATCCAGTCAATTAAAAACACGTGTAACTAATTTTAAAACTATAATTTTTCAGAACTATGGGATCTAGTGTATCATATACATGAACAAAATATTATAAAGCAAATAAATACACCAATTTGTTTTTTAACAGTTATAGTTTGTAGCTAAAATTTCGTAATGACTTTCTGAACCATCCCATTTAATCCACATTAGAAATTTAATTAAAGGTGATGTTTATTTTTCAGACTGTGACGCCATGAGGGTCTTAAATCATAGACTACCTCGAGATTTCATCAAAATACAAAGGACAAAACACGACCACGGAAGGGTCTTTTAAAGAATACAATACAATCATCATTATGTAAAGGCTTGAGTAATGTATGACGAGTAATTTATTGTAATTTTACTATTTTTATAGATATTTATGTATATATTGACTGTGAACTTTAGTTCATCTAATTCTAAAATGATTAAAACATGAAAACAAAAAAAGTTGTGATATTAAATTATATTTTTAATTGCTTATGTTCTTTTTACTTTTTCAATTCCTATTGCTGTAAAAATTTGGTTCAAGAGTTATTGCAGCGGTTGTGATATTTTTCATAAAATACCATACTTTATCCCACCGCTTGCCTATGATAGGGTTTTAAAAGCTAGCTAATGGGAAAAAGTATGTTTTATTGCTGATACTGTTTATTTTGCTAATATTCATGTAGAAGATTTCAAAAATTATGTTGTGAACGAAATTTATAATTAAAAAACATATAAATTTTGAATCTGGTAAAATTAATATTTGCCATTGTAATATTTTTGCAAGAAAAACTGATTATTGACTTGATACAAATTACTAAATTCCAAGTGGTGTAGTATAGTTGGTTGAATTTGAAACAATTAGAGTTTGTTTTTGGAACCACCAAATCATATTTACTCATCGTTTTTGCACATCAAATGGAGTGTGATGAATATTTCAATAACATAGTGTGATGAAAGTAATTTCTTAATAAATCAAAACGAGTATAGCTTTTATGACACCGATTCAAATAAAATTGGGTTGTTAATATTGTGTTACAACATAACGATAAGGTTAACAAAACTTTTCCAATGCAAAAGGACAGTCTTCGTGTGGCCCGACGTTTCTAGTGATAATAGTATCAAGTTACCCCCCCAAAGACCTCCAAGGGTCAAATAAATGGGCGACTTGGGTCAAAGCTAATCGGGTAACATGATCACTACAGCTAGAGTTACTAGTTAGGTTCAGGTCTACTACGAGATAATTAAACCCATTATGATTCCAAAGAAGAGTTTTGATCGTAATGCAAACACGACTGTTTTAATATTTGAGTTGCGAGATTAAAGCATAGAACAAATAAACACAATTTATTCGATGGCTACAGATATTTTTCTTCCAATCAAGTATACAATTTGAAAGCTGTGAAAGTGATAAAGAACATAATACTGTATTAACGAAAGTCATCGCATCGTTATAAACATTGAGTTGTGTTAATTATATTAATATAACGACATAGCTACAAATAATACTATCCATTTTATCGACATTATAAAAAATTTAAAATATAAAGGATTTTTAATTTTCAATTCATAATTCTGTTGACACAATTTACCTTTAACAATTTTACTAGAATTAAATCAGGAAAAATAGTTTAGTTCATTGGGTGTGGGTTAGGTACTTATGAGATATTTTTCCCTAACAAAATTAATAGTTATCAAGTTTAAAGACGCTTCGATTGTAAATTTGTTATAAATAGCGTTAATAACGTCGTGGTATAAAAATAATTAATTAAACCAAATACTATAACCCTTTCTATACTTTAATTCAATTAGTATGTTACACCGAAATAAATCTTTTTTGTATGAAGTACTCTAAAAACCAGCCTCTTTTTGGCATAATATTAAATTGTATGAGAGACATAAAAGTACAGTTAAAAACTGTCTTCACCACACTATTATTTTTTTAGACGTTTTACAAACGTTTATTGGGGGACGAAAGCTACGTATTAGTGTCCATGCCAGCTGTCATCGTCAATTGGGGACCGAGCAGGTTTTTACATCACTTGGGCCAAAAACCAACTGTTTGTATTAACCCATGTGCATTGCAAAAGACTTTTTTTTATTGTCGCCACTTCTTAGGCAACTAATTATTATTATTTATGCTGATTCCTAAAAATATTCAACAAAACCTTAAAGTAAGAAATGTATTGACTGTTAGTGTGAATTATTGTTGTGATTAATAGTGGTAATAGGATATAGTAGGGTGAAAAATAGCGTACTGTTTCGGGATTAGAAATTTTGAGTAGTATTTTTTATTTGCACCACAACATTTTTTCGTGAATTTCTGTAGACTTGATACACCTGAGCAAGCCTTAACATAAGCTATAATATAAACCACACGTAGGTGAGCCAATATTTAGGTGTAGAAGGTGTATAAAAAGTGAAAGATGTGTTGAGGATCCCAGTGCACATTTTACAACAGTCCCGACTGACCTGAGGCTCATACTAAAGTTAAGTCTTTTGGGTTAGCAGTAAAGGAGACGAAATAACCTGACCTTAGGCGTTTCGTGTAAAGATTTAACATGCAGAACTTTTCAGTGTTGTGTCACAAACTCATTTAAACTATGAAAAGTAGGATGATAATATATTTAGGCCTAACAGCTCTTTTAAGTTGATTTTGCTTTTCTATTGATTTCAATTTATAGTGGTTTCTCCCTAAAATTTACTTGATAAGGTAATAAATAGTGATTTATATTTACTAGGTTATTGTCAAAATGGTGTAAATAAGTATACCTGCATTTTTTTTATCGTAATTGATATAACAAAAAACACTAATACTGAGATTTCCCCTCAATCTCTTTTTACTTACTCTTTTAACTTGTTTAATGCATTGGCTATATCTATAGTGCGTCTATGGAACGATTCCAAACGAAAATCAATAAACACATTGACAGCTCGGAGAATTATAAACATGCATATAAGTTAAAATAATTTGTTATATTATGTAATCCTGTTCAGTTAGAGCAACAGTTCGGAAACTCCTAGTTCATGTTTTAACAATCGTCTTACAGTTAACAGTAGACGGCTAAAAGCATTAGTGCCTCAAAACTGAAATGTATAGATTATTGCTGCTACAAATTAAAAAAAATAAAACAAGGAAAACTTATAAGCACTTAAGCACTTATTGACTTTAAGGCAACTTTAAATACACGTTACATGAGATATTAAGCTTACCGGGTGTTTGAATGTTGAAGCAAATAAAACAAAAGTTCCTTCAGTATTTACATGCTGGAATACTTGTTGAAAACTTCTTGCATAAAATGAATCTTTAAATTTGATAAAATGTAGGCTTGAGTCCAATTTGCGTCAATATACTGAGAATGTTTGTCCTAAATAAACTAGTTGTATTTCAACAATTGGATTAGCTTAAAACAAGTAGTAGAAAGATTCTTTTTTTTAGATTTTTACAATACCCCCACCACAGCAATCACGCAGACTGAACGAATTTCTGCAAACATACAGACATTTTTATAATCATTATAAATAATAGTAATCTGTTAATTTATTTGTCATACTAGCATAAAATAATGTCGAAATTTGCGTTAATCATTCAATTTATCATTCAAATGTAACTTAAAAGCTATATACATTTCAATAATCTTTTAAATTATACTAAACTGGACCAATGGTACATGTAAATAGGTTAATGCCACATAGTAGAGTGTTTATGTGGCTCACCACAAAGTGATGTGGTGTGTTCTGTGTGATCTAATGTCATTGGCAAACCGCAGTGTATGCTGGGTAATGTAATTAACTAGCACATGTAATATAGTATTAGATATCCTCGTCATAGTATCCATACACAGCGTATGTATTACCAGTTGCTTGACACTTTTTCGACTGGATTAATTGTATGTCATAAAATGTGTGTCATAAAATGGATGTCATAAAATGTTTGTCATAAAATGTATATCTTAAAATGTATGTCATAAAATGTATGTCGTAAAATAGGTCTACGCATTTGCATTGTTGACAATCATAAAAACACATTGGAAATATTGGTTGTTTGCTGAATTTTGCTTCACATTATTGTTTTTATTGATTAATATAAGAATCATAACTAATAATATGACAGCTAGCTAATTCTATATCTTAGGAAAATCATTCATATGGTAAATAAGTTTGCTTTTAAATCATGTGAAAATGGCAGACAAATATGTTTCAGGTTTGGTGTAGACCTACAGATTGAAATATTATGTAATTTTAGGACAACGAAATACTATATTTAAAACACTCCTTGCAATATGTTGATTGGTTGACGGAATAATTTAAATGCATGTTACATGGGATAATAATTTGAATTAGGATCCATTCTAGTATAGTTATCGCTATGATTTACACAGTTGGAATACCGGTGGCTTACACGATTGCAGTGCCAGAAGGCAAACAGGACTGCTTTCGTGTACCACATGGTGACCGAACCGGTGCTTCTAAAGAGTCTAGTTCTTGTCATTCCTGTAAAACTATTGGCAGAAGAAAGGAAGAACAAACTACCAGACACAGCTATATTGGTTTGGGACGATATATAGACCGGAAAAAGAACTGCCAGACTCATCAGGCAGGTCCAACCGTGGGTAGGCAGCAAGGTTAGGTTAACCGCTACCTTACGCAGTTCTTATTCATGGCTACTTTCATTAGTACCTGTATTTCATGGCCAAAGTAAAATTCACGCAACTGTATTTACTATGGGTGTTTCTGGTGACGCAGAACTCACGTTCTTCCACTGTCCACGTCGTGATATGCTCCACTGGAAGGCCACTTGAGGTGCTGTCAGTTGAATATAACTGAGATTGGTTGAAGATCGCTCGGAACATCATCAAAGGCAATACACACAAACTAGACCTAAGTGCAGTCTAGATCGATAAGTAATTAACGGCTAGACACTGGATGAACCTTTTGGACGTGACGTAGCTCAACTCTGCCTGTTTTGAAGTGTGGCAAGTGTTCCCAGGATGGTGTCCGAAAAGCAGAGGTTTTAGTGGGTTGTTAACGGTTCCTAACCCTGGTAGGAGTTTTACACTTAAAACCCTCTCTACCTGAGTGTGTAAACAAACTTTCCTACAACACAAAAAACTAAAAAAATCACTTACGAATTGCACGATTTAGAATACGATAAACAATTGTTTGGCATTAAGATCATAAGAGTCGTGAGAGAGAGGAAGGTTTTGTATAATTGGGGACCAAACTCGTTAATTCATCAAACGGGGTTGAGTTATGGAGACTAATTGTACCGTAGAATTACAACCAGAGCTGTAATTGGTTCTACTGACACGTTCTTGATTGCGTAACATGATCTATGAGTTTTACAAGGATGTTTAAATTCATTGGAACGGGGAGAAAATAGGTTCATAAAGGTTATCGAAAAATTAAAGAAATACAGATATTTCTTAAATTTAAATCCCTTTTAAAA